GATAATCAAATCAAATGCTCTGTTCACCGGTGTTATTGAGGATATTGTTAACTTGACCAAAAACTTTACCATTGACGATTATGTTATAATTCATGCAGGTCAGAATGATTTTAAAAATAATAGGGCTCCTTTTTTTAAGTTTATCAATAAGTACCTGAAATATTGCCTTCATACAAATATTATTTTAACTACGGTTTCTTACTCATACTGTGAAAATTTTAATAATAATCTAGTATACAAATTTAACAAGAAACTTTTTTACTATGCTGATGTCTTGAACAGACATACTCAGGGGACTATGGCCCTATGTGTGGACATCAGCGGTGAAGATGGCCTAATGTATAGGAGAAAAACACTTGGGGAAAAACTTGTATGTGCAATAATGAAGTCAAAAGAAAACACTGGTGATCTTGTATACATTACGCCTGATGGATCTGTTGGTTCTACAAATGACTATAATGAAGTCCTAGATAGTGGTGATATCATGGAAACACAAATTTTTTTAGATATGAGCCTGAACAAGATTACTGTAATTTGATTGATGACAAATCTGTATCTTCCGGTGATCCTGATGTCAGGCCCAATGTTTTAGACTTAGGTGACGATATTTTTATTATTTTATCTTTAAATATTTGTAGCGTAAGAAACAAAATTTCCGAACTATCTATTTTCTTGGAAGACCATAAAAATCCTGATTTAGTGTGTTTAACAGAACACCATTTAAAAGAACACGAGCCCATAGTCTTACAGGGTTATTATGTCGTATCTTGTTACACAAGAAATATTTTTAAGGGTGGAGGTTCCATAATTTTTGCAAAAGATAGCATCGAATGTAAGACTATTGATAAATATAACTGTCTTAATAATGAAAAACATTTTGAACTTGCCTGTGCTTATGTACATTTCCTTAATTTTTACATCATAAATATTTATAGGTCTCCTTCTGGTAATCTCAATGTTTTTTACGAAAGTTTATTTGATGTTTTAAGGTCGTTTACAAAGAATTCACACATAGTGTTGGTAGGTGATTTTAATATTGACTGTAGTCAAAATTCCCAAGAATCGATTAACTTAAAGTGTTTATTGATGTCTTTCGACTTCAAGATGCATGTGGATACATTTACTAGGACTACAAAGACTAGTGCCTCACAAATAGATTATTTTTGTACAAATCTAAGACTTAATACAGTTATGATTGAGACAAAACATATGGATTTGAGTGTTCATGAGGCTATCGTGGGAAGAATTATTGCTCGAATTATTGTTAGGAAACAAAATTTAAAATACAATAATTTTATAACTTTAAGAAATTTTTCAAACAGAAACATGAACAAATTCCAGAATCTGTTGGAAAATATTGACTGGTCCTTTATTGAGAAAATTATATCTTCGGAAAAATTCTTTTGTTTCCAGCAGCATATTCTTGAGGCTGTGAATTCTTGTTTTCCTTATAGGAAACTCTCTTTGAAGTCTAAGCCATACATAACTCGAGGAATTAAAATATCTTGCAGAAACAAACGAGCACTACATTATATCAGTAAGTATACTGACAATCATCATTTCCTACGTTACTTCAAAGCATATAAAGCTATTCTTAAGAAAGTTATTGGTGAGGCGAAAAAAAATCACTATCATGAAGAGATCGGTAGGGCAAAGAATTCAAAGAGGAAAACATGGTCCATAATTAATGACATTTCTGGAAGAGGATCGGATCGCAGAAAATCAGCCATCAAACTGGAAGTTGACTCGAAAGAGATTACTACACCAGCAGATGTGGCAAACCACCTCAATGAATTCTATGTTGCTTTGGCATCCACAGTCACAAAAGATTTGGCCTCCGACAGAGATGCATTATCGTTCCTAAATGATAAGAAGACTAAAATGAATAATAGTTTTTACTTAAAACCCTGTACACCCCAGGAAATTCTCAATTTAATCAAAAATCTGAAAAACACAAACTCCAGTGGATTGGATCAAGTATCTCTTAAGACAGTCAAAAAATTTCCCTTCAAAGTTCTTGAGGTCCTATCCAGCATCATTAACGATTTGTTTCTTGATGGTGTCTTTCCTGAAGATCTTAAAAAAGCCTTAGTAATTCCTCTTGATAAGGGTGGAAGAAATAAGACACCCTCCAATTTTCGTCCAATATCTCTACTTTCTGTCTTTTCAAAAATAATAGAAACATTAGTTAAAACACGTACAACCGACTTTATTAAGAGATATAATATTCTTTCCACTGTTCAATTTGGGTTTCAGAGTGGCAAGAGCACTTCACACGCAATTTATTCCCTCTTAGAAAGTGTTTACTCTGGATTGAATGCTAAGAAGAATGTGGTGGCTGTTTTCTGTGATTTGGCAAAAGCCTTTGATTGTGTGAATCATAAAATCTTGATAGAAAAGCTGGAGTTCTATGGTTTCAGGGGTGTGACACTGAAGTGGTTCAGGTCATATTTGATTAATAGAGGGCAAGTTGTCCAAATAACAGATAATGGTGAAAAAGTAACGTCCGACTATAGAGATATTACGGATGGTGTGCCGCAAGGGTCAGTGTTGGGTCCATTACTTTTTCTGATTTACATAAATGACTTAACTTCGCTGAGTATTGCAGGCAGTTTCACTTTGTTTGCGGATGACACTTCAATTTGCTGGATGGGAGACGATCCAGAGGTCTTACAGACAGTTATCTGCACAGATCTGGCATCAATTAAGCAATGGTTTGATGCAAACAAACTAGCCCTCAACACCGACAAAACCAAGTTTATGACTTTTAATAAAAATTTAAACATCTCCCTAAAAATAGGTACTAATGCTATTCATAAGGCCACGGACTATAAATTTTTGGGAATTGTACTGGATAGTTCCCTGAAATGGGAAAATCACTTAAATAAGCTGTCAAAAAATTTGGCATCTGCTACTTATGCTATTTAGATCTGCCTCACAAGAATTGGGTGACGAAGCTATATCACTAGAAGTGTATTATGCTCTCTTTGAGTCCCACTTGAGATATGGGCTTGTGTTCTGGGGATATGCAACAATTACGCGACTTAATTCTGTTTTCATTTTACAAAAAAGAGCAGTACGAATAATTTCAAATGCTGATCGGCTAGCTCACTGCAAACCACTGTTTCAAAGGTTGCAGATTCTTACAGTGTATGACCTAATTATCTTTGAAAGCCTAATTTTTTTGCAAAATAAGTCCTCAACAGAAGCAAACTGAAACTCGAAATAGATATAGTTTTAGTTTACCCCAGTCTCAGATGGAAGTTACTAGGAGGTCAGTTTTTCATTTGGGTAGAGCTTGGTATAATGCAATACCTCTTAATATTAGACAACTGCCAATTGGGCAATTTAGGAAAAGAATAAGGGATGTATTGGTTTCCTCTGCAAATTATTCTTTCGATGAATATTTTCGGAATTCAGTGCCAAGGCTGCTTACTCTTCAATGATTGCTTGGGATGTTTCCTGGTCGCTTCTTTGTCTTTTTTTGAATTGTACCTGCGGGTTTGTCTTGGATACTTGTAACTTTGTGGTCTTATCTGTATTGAATATGTAGGTACTGACAGTCTTACTGATAATTTTTTATTTTATTTTATTAACTGATGATAAAAAAAAAACTGATAACTGCTATTGTTTAGCTCAATGATTTTATGTAAGCTCAGTATTCTTGCTGGGCAGTCATTGTTTTTGTATTATTGTATTATTAGTCATATTGTTGTAAAATTAGGTGTGATTTGTGATCAATGCCATTATGGCTGCCCTGTACTTTTCTGTATGTACTGATCGATAAATTGAATTGAAATTGAATTGAGAACAATTTAGTGTTTGGAGTTTGGGGGGTCCTGAATGACGATTTAAACACAAAATCTCAACATAAAAAAAATTTAAAATTTCATCGTTTTAGTACTAAGACAGCTACTATATGATTTGGATATTCAAAAACTTTGAAAAATCATAACTTTTTTTCTATTATTATAGATAGAAAGCTGAAATTTTCAGCGATCCTTATCTCAGTAGAGTACTACAATTCTGAAAATTTCAGCTCATTGAGACTTATAGTTCCAGAAATAAAATCTTGTTAAACAATTTGGAGTCAATTAATCAATTTTCTGAGTGCCTTTTTTCATAGATTTCGACTTCAAATCTCAAAATAATTTAGTGTATGGAGTTTGGGAGGTCCCGAATGATCGTTTGAACACAAAATCTCAATATAAAAATTGTAGAGAGAAAGCCGAAATTTTCAGCGATTCTTATCCCAGTAGAGGATTACAATCCCTGAAAATTTCAGCTGATCGGGACTTATAGTTCCAAGAATAAACAATGTGAAGTGAAGCCAACATTTTGGCTCAAATCTCAGTACCTATAATTTATTATTTGTAACCGATAAGCATAGAATCAATGACATTTACACACATGAATCATAAAATTTAAACCAACGAGAACACAAAGCAATTCAAATAATTACAGAATTGATTGTGAAAAGAATGATTTACAAAGTCCCAGAGTAATAAAATGCAAAAATAGCTCAAGGTGAAACTATGTTCAATGTATTGTAAAATCATATTGGTAATTTTTAGGTATGTTCTATTTTATCCAGAAGAATGAATTAAACTGGAGACTGATTCCAAAATTCTTTTCAATTTCTTAAATTTGGATACATAGAAGGCTTTATGATTTAGGTAGCAGTGTCTCAAGTCTTAAGTACTTGATTAAAGTTTCAATATTTAACTATTTTTATTTAAAATACCTACTTTTACCAAGTTTCTAAGAATTGTTTTAAAGTATCATTCAATTTGTTAACATCTAACTTGGTAGAATACTATTTTATTAAAACAATAATTAATTATTGATTCGTAAATGACAAAATTATAATTAAATGATTGTCCCCCTGGCCTAGCATTGGATATTGAACTTGTAGACCGGGTCGGGCGTTTTATTTATTATGATTGTATTGATTTAAAATGGACAAACCTAAAAAACATCGGAAATTCTAGCATACTTACCTTTTGCTTTGCTGAACCTGATTGATCACGTTACCGTCCACTTTGGTGTCGTTTTCGGATTTTTCCGCCGGCAGAATTTCCTCTTTGGCTTTTTCTCCCGACATTTTATTAACATGCAATGCTCTTTTCAACTGCTACCCCCTAGCCTAGGAAAAAATGAAAAATGATAAATAAATAGGTCGTTGACGTTGACATTTGACACGTAACGGCATGACGATGACAAATCATTTTGTAACGTTTTCTAATAGAGAATTCTATTGGTAAGAACCAGTGCAGAAAAAAATATATTTTCATCTCTTTCTTATATAGGCTGATAGAAAAAGACACGGATACACTCAGTGCACATTAACCATTCCAATATAATTCGCCATAAGGCAATCAAAGGATTTCCACAAAAACTTCGGAAAATTCAACTGAAAACGTTACGAATCAGTTCTAATCCTTACCCCGAACGAAGCTGTTTTAGCTTAAATTGTTCCACTATACAAAATTTTCTTGCTCCGAGTTCTATAGGAACGGTATGATAATAGAGAACGGTTTGGTTTATCGATATCGATATTCTTAGCCTTTTGTATCGATATGTCTGACAAAAAGTAAACAAACAAATTTTAAATTTTGCGAAAATTTAAGTTGATGGTGATTACTTTATTCACAAATAAAAGTTTAATATGACCATTGAGATGACTCTGCCGTTACTCAAAGACCCCCAAATGCAATTTGGGGCTATCACATTCTTCGCAAAGCAACATCAAGGCGATACTTGCGGCAGTAATGGTCTTCCTTTGACTCCGAACTCGATTATAATCGTTGGAAGAGCACAGATTTTGAAAACCATCAAAAATCCTTATTTGTGCAACTATTTGGATATTATACGAGGAAAACACGGCAAGTATTCAACCAGGATTTGAACTGTACTAGACTAGGGCTTTAATTTTAGAGCGAACGATTGTTGTGTCTCAATATTGCGGTACTCCGTTGATAAATTTTATAGAAAAAAGGCCATTCAGTGTTGATGAAATAAAACGAATCGCTTACCAAACTTTGGAAGGCCTAAAAGTTCTACACCAACGGAAAATGATTCATAGGACTTTGAGCAATGAAAATATTCTTTTGCAAGCTAATGGGGACGTTAAATTATTCAATTATGGACTATTTCACATGTCTGATATGGGATCTTTAGTATCTTTTCCTGTTTTGTAAGTATTTAATTTTTTTTTTAAGGTTATGTTGTTCGGTAGGTGGCTAATGTAATGATTTTGACAAAGCAATATACATGACTCCGTGGCGCAACGGTAGCGCGTCTGACTCCAGATCAGAAGGTTGCGTGTTCAAATCACGTCGGGGTCAAATTACTTTTTTTAATTTTTTTTCCTACCGTGCGTGAAATACTTACTTTATGCACTATTCAAGAGACTTATAATTAATTTTCACCCACTAGTGCGTGAAGTAAACAAAAAAATTCAATAAATTATTGTATCCGTTTCTTCGCAAAAATGTATAAATACTTACCCACCCCACAAGAATAAAATTTGACATTGAAAAAGCCTTTGCTGCACTTTTCTGCATTAAAAATATGATTTCACTTCACAATCTAGGTTGGGAAGTACTTAAGTTACTTTAGACACTACGGCGTAAAGTTGTGGTTTATTTTTTCAAATTTACCTATTGCTTTATATTGTCAGTAGTAGAAAAAAATTTGTATGTAACAGATGTGTAAAGTACCTTTATTTACAATCAATCATACATGTAATGTTGACTTTACTGACTTTTAAAAAGTTCGAAAATGTCACTTTTTTGACTTTTACTTTCGGCCCACGGGTCGAAAGTTTACTTTCGACCCGTGGGCCCAAAGTAAATTAAAGGACCCCGCACACCTCTTATGGGTTTTTGGTTTTCTGTCAAACTCAATGAAATTTTGATATGTGTTAGACCTTGACTTCCTGATAAAAAGTTCTCATGGGCCCGATTCAATCCTATGATTAGTTTTTGAGATACAGGTACTTTTGTGTCCAAGAAATGTATACATTTTATATGTATTCCCATCTACCTGTCACCTAATAATAGGTTTGTTTCTGCAAAAATCACAAACTTGTCAGAGCGAATTTGATTGGTCGAAAACAGTCAGAAACAGTCAGAAAACTAGTTACAACCAATGAAATTCACTCTGACAGACCTAATAATAGGTGACAGGTAGATGTGAATGCATATAAAATGTGTACATTTCTTGAACATTAAACCACCTGTATTTCGGAAACTAATCATAGTAGCGGGTTGGGCCCATGAGTATCAGTAAGTCAAGATATACCACATATCAAAATTTCATTGAGTTTGACAGAAAACCAAAAACCCATAATATGTGTGCGGGGTCCGAGGCGGGGTCCTTTTTAAATTTTTTTGTATTTTCTGACTTTTACTTTCAGCCTACGGGTCGAAAGTAAACTTTCGAGTAAATGAAATTGTTAATTATTGTACCTACTTTTTAGTTTTGATTCAAATGAAAATTTCAAAATTCGAATGATTGTAAATAAAATAGTATACATACCTCGGTGAAAAGTTTCATTACTGGAGTAATGAAACACTTTCCACCTCGGTATGTAATATACTATTTTTCACTCATTTGATTGTCAAAATTCACATTTATGAAAAAAACGTTCACTTTACACACTTGTTGCATAAATACAAGCATAAATAGCTATTTTGGGATTTAAATATTTTTTTTTTTTGTGACAGACAAGTTCTCTACACAGCCCCAGAAGTCTACTTGAATGGGTTAAGTAGCTCCTATTCGGATCCAAAAATGGATATTTGGTCACTTGGTATTTGTTTGGCTGAACTAGCCTTAAATAAAGTACTTTGGAGTTCGCTAAAGTTGGGCCAAAAAATCAGGAAGGTTACGACTTTGTTGCAAGTTGATACATCGATTTTTGAGAAAATTGCCAGAGAACATAATTGTTATGAGCAATATTTGGTAATAAAATTGTTTCTTTTTATTGAAATACACCTTTTTCAATTATTGTAATGCAGAATTCAGAAAGACCAGAAAATGTAGGTATTTGAGAAAGGGAAATTGAATTGCAGAAGATGGACATTTTAATTCAGAATATAAAGTTATTCAGTTATCAGAATAAATTTAAAATTCAAAAGAAATACAGAGTCATTGGCCACATTTTGACTCATAGGTATAGTCCGACAAATACCATTTTAAAGTCGCGTGATACTGGTGGCAAAAAACGTATGTCCATTGATTATGTCGTTGATATCACCTACAAAAAGCTACTGGTGGTTAATTACTATTGAATTTTAAGATATGTTCCCACTAGCATTTTACAAACGCGTTTCTGAAGTAGTATGGACCAATCAGAGGGCAATTTTAATACTTGCAATTGTTGCGGGACTCACTTTTGTCGCATCTGCTGTCTGTTGTAATACATTCTGAACTTAAACCCGTTTTCTATTTGCTTCTTTTCGAGTTGGAAAAAGGTTAATATAGTCAAAATTATTAGCTGTGTTTGTTCGTTGTATTACTTTCGAAAATAAATTTGACAAACTAATTGATGACAATGACGGATTCTATTTCAGGTAAGAATATTATGAACAATAATTAGACAGCAATTTTTTTGTCAATTTTACTATCACCGCTATTTGAGATGTATTCAACAAGAATAGAGAAAAATCACTTGACTTTAAAATGGTATTTGTTGGACTATAACTTCTTATATAACATTTATAGGTAGTATAAAGTACCAGAAAATGTTCGTTTCAGGTATACAGGGTGTTCCATAAAGAAATGTCAGAACAATCATACGTTTTTAAAATGGAACATCCTGTATATTATTAAATTTTTTGGATTCTTCAGAAAATTCCAGATCTTTTCTGTGTGTTCCACTATTTCTGAAATATTGTGAATGGAAAACTGAAAAACGTCGAATAAAAAAGTTACCTATTGGTCAAAATGTGGCCAATGACCCTATACATAATATTATTTGGAAATGGGAATTTGTAATTCAGTATAGAAATATGTAATTTAGGAAGTCGAAATTTAATTTCAGAAAATATTAATTCTAATTCAGATATGCAATTTTAAAAATCAGAAATAGGAAAATGTAATTCAGAATTGGTAGATAACATGTAAAATCAGTAAATATCTATGAGTGCTTTTTTCTTGAAATTCTTAGCTTGTATAGAGGGAATGGCTATCCCTGGTTTATTACTTCATCACCAGTAGAGTTTAACATAAAAAAGTTATAGTATCATCCTAAGGTGCATATTATAGTATTCTGAATTATGATTTTGCTTTTCTGAATTTCAACTTCCTAATCTGAATTGAATTTTTTCTATCTGGAATTAAAATCAACTTTCAACTTGTTCTGTATCATGAAAAAACTTCATTCACCAAATCTTTAAAGTTTCAAATTGCTGGGATTGCTCAAATTATTTTTCAGGAACCTTCAAAGGTGATTTTTCAGGAATTTTATGATTTTTTTAGGTATTAATCAGTAAAAAAAATTCGTAGCTTCAGTTGTGACTTTCATACTTATCAACTTCCAACTTGTTTGGTATCATGAAAAACTCCATTCAACAAATTCTGAAAGTTTCAAATTGCTGGGATGGTTCAAAGTATTTTTTAGGAACCTTCAAAGGTGATTTTACAGAAATTTTATAATTTTCTCAGGTATCAATGAGTAAAAAAAATCGTAACTTCAGTTGTGACTTTGATATCAACTTCCAACTTGTTTTGTATCATGAAAAAACTTCATTTAACAAATCCTGAAAGTTTCAAGATGCTGCGATGACTCAAAGTATTTTTCAGGAACCTTCAAACGTGACTTATTTACAGGAATTTTATGATTTTCACGAGTATTAATGAGTAAAAAAATTCGTAACTTCAATTGTGACTTTCATATCAATTTTCAGCTTGTTTTGAATCATGAAAAACTCCATTCAAAAAATCCTGAAAGTTTCAAATTGCTGGGATGGTTCAAACGAGGGCTCAAAGTATTTTTCAGGAACCTTCAAAGGTGATTTTACAAAAATTTTATAATTTTCTCTGGTATCAATGAGTAAAAAAAATCGTAACTTCAGTTGTGACTTTGATGTCAACTTCCAACTTGTTTTGTAACATGAAAAAACTTCATTTAACAAATCCTGAAAGTGAAAGTATTTTTCAGGAACCTTCAAACGTGACCTTTTTACAGGAATTTTATGATTTTCACGAGTATTAATGAGTAAAAAAATTCGTAACTTCAATTGTGACTTTCATATCAATTTTCAGCTTGTTTTGAATCATGAAAAAACTCCATTCAAAAAATCCTGAAAGTTTCAAATTGCTGGGATGGTTCAAACGAGGGCTCAAAGTATTTTTCAGGAACCTTCAAAGGTGATTTTACAGAAATTTTATAATTTTCTCAGGTATCAATGAGTAAAAAAAATCGTAACTTCAGTTGTGACTTTCATATCAACTTCCAACTTGTTTTGTAACATGAAAAAAACCTCATTTAACAAATCCTGAAAGTTTCAAGATGCTGCAATGACTCAAAGTATTTTTCAGGAACCTTCAAAAGTAACTTTACAGGAATTTTATGATTTTTACAGGTATTAATGAGTAAAAAAAATCGTAACGGTTTTTAACTTCAATAATTACAAGTTCCTATTCTAAAATACATGTCCCCTTTCTCTAAAATTAACCATTGATTTTCTAAATTACAATTGAAAAAGGAATATACCTAACTAGGTATTTTATGTAGGAATTGCCAGAAGATTTAAAAGATCTTATAGAAGAATGTCTGAATATTTATCCAAATAAAAGACCTGCATGCGATAAACTAATAGAAAATCCTTGTTTTGCTGACTTTAAAGTAAAACCAACAAAAACCATTAGCAAAATTTGTGAACCATTCCAAATTTTCACTATACATGAGCTCTATCACTTGTGGCAGCTAGCAGGAGGTGACGTATTTCAGGAATTAAAAAAACAAGGCCTTATTAGATCAAGCCCGCCAGTTTTATCCGTACCTAGGTAAAAAAAATTCAATCCTTATTCTACAAATTAAAATGTTTTTATTTTAGTTTAGTCTTAATAGAAGGCACAATATTGGGTCAAGAACGCAACCCCTCAACTCTATACGATCCTAGAATAGTTCAAATGCCTCTAGATTCCCTTTATCAACGCTTCGCCCACATTCCATTTCCAGTTTTTTATCCTCTGATCCATTGCAAATCAGAAATTATAGCTAAATTTGATCCTCCTCCTTATGACGCAACTGGATTGCCTTTGATTATCAAAGAAAGAGATCCAGAGTATCAATTACACAGAGTAATTTTATTGAGGAGGCTCTTACATGTAAGAAATAATAATTGTGTTAAAATTAAATAATAAGCAATGTGTTATAGGGCTATCCATTTACCAAGGACCTAATTTTTGAGGAAGCCAACAAAGACATTCCTCCGTTTTTAAGAGGCGAAATTTGGGCCACCTTATTAAACATAAAGGCCAACTACGACATTGAATATTTGCGGATTGATAAGTTTACACATACAACAACGGATAGGCAAATTGAAGTAGACATTCCAAGGTGCCACCAGTACAATGAGCTTTTATCTTCTACAGAGGGCCACAAAAAATTAAAAAGAATTTTGAAGGCCTGGGTTTGTCAAAATTCGCATTACGTTTACTGGCAAGGTTTGGACTCTTTGACTGCGCCGTTTTTGTTTTTGAATTTTAACGATGAAGGTAATTTGAGTGTTAATTGTTTTACTATATAATCAATCAAATTTTCTTTTTCAGCTAAAGCCTTTGCTTGTTTGTCAGCTTTTGTACCAAAATTTTTGCACAACTTTTTCCTAAAAGACAATTCCGCTGTTATTGAGGAATATTTGTGTAAATTTTCTCAGCTCATAGCGTTCCATGATCCCCATTTGGCCAATCATCTTTACGAAATCAATTTTTATCCACAGCTGTTTGCTATTCCGTGGTTTTTAACATTATTTTCACGTAAGAAAAACTCTTGTATTCAGATACAAAAACTTAAACCTAAACAATTTCAGATGTATTTCCTCTCTATAAAATCCTACACCTTTGGGACAAGTTGTTACTTTGCGACTCTTCTTTTCCTATTCACATAGGATTATCAGTTTTAACTCAACTAAGAGACCGTTTACTGACTTCGGGTTTCAACGAATGCATTTTGCTGTTTTCTGATTTGCCCGAAGTCGACATAGAAAAATGTGTGATGCTTTCAATGGCTACTTTTAAAATTACACCAAAAAGCATTACTAGCAGGCTCCATGAAAATGAAATGTTCCATAAGAAAACTGAATTGGATATCACAGGGATTGGGTTGGAGGAACTTAAAAAGGAACGGTGTTCTAGGATTAGTGTAAATGATGTTGTTAGATTAGTGAGGAGCGATTTTGAGGGAGTTGTTTTGGTTGACATTAGAAATCATACAGTGTAAGTTTTGAAAACGTAACAGATTTTTCAATTAGTTATTTTTATTTTAGCTTTTCTAGATGTTCTGTAGTGGGCAGCATTAATATACCATTTTCAAGTGTATCTTTTAGTGAAAATGTTATAGAGAATGTAGGTGCACAAGCTTCTACAATAAAATCAAAAGGTGACAAAGTTCTGGTGGTGATTGGAGATGAAGAAACTGATCTTGAAAGAGTGAGTTTTTTTTTATGAAAGTTTCTAATTTTTTGAAATATGTTTTTTAGTTTCCAGAATTTTTACTTCAATGTAATATAAGCAAAGTATGTGTACTGCACGGAGGGTTTAATACGCTTTTGCCTATTACACCTACAATTTTAACATCTACAATTTCTATTTGAGAACTAAAAATAATTAGAAATTGTATTAGATAATTTATTTAGGGCCGGTTTATTCACTTTCTGATAAACTGTCAGGTTGCAGATGGTTAGCTTCAAATTTATTTGGAGATGAAAAAACCGGGCCTTAGTGTGCTATTTTTATGGATATAGATTTTTTTTTTTTGTAATTTATAAGCTTTATAAATATTTATATTAATACAAATGACATTATTGGAAAATCCTTTATATTTTACTTCAGTGAGCCACTTATTTTCACCTGGCTCAAAATAAAATTAGAAATAAAATTTGTGAGGCTTTCGCGGCCCAGGTTTATTGATAAAGTGTTTTCATTCGGGCTTAAATGGCTGTCGTAAGTTGGAATTTCTTCCCGACGTTTCGCTAGCATCTTCAGAGGTAGCAGACGTTTTTGGTAGCAGGCTGACGCGTTCCCGACCGTAAGTTGTATTTATGTGTGAGTGGTTGTGGTGGGGGAGGGGCGGGGCTTCGCACGTGGCTAATCTGAACTTTCTCTGTACTCAATGGGATCTCTTTGCGTTTTTGAAGATTAGTCACGTGCAGCGAAGCCCCGCCTCTCCCCTACCACAACCACTCACGCATAAATACAACTTACGGTCGGGAACGCATCAGTCTGCTACCAAAATCGGACATGGAAGTACCTTTGAAGATGCTAGCGAAACGTCAGTTAGAAAAGCCTACTTATAATGGCCATTAAGCCCGAATAAAAACACGTTATCAAAATTAGAACTGTTAATTAAAACAAAAAAATCCTTTTACTAAATCACCATTAATTTATTTAAAAATTTATCATCCAAAAACTCACATAAGATTTCCAAAAAATAAATGCAAAAATAAACAAAAACAATAAACGTTTTAAACTTTAAGCAAATTTTTAATAATATTTTCAAGTTTAATGGAATCAGCTGCAAATTTCCTAATCCCATCTGACAGTTTATCAGTGGCCATTTGATCTTCATTGAGCAACCATCTGAATTTAGCTTCTGTAAGCTCCAATTTTTCCAGTGGAACTTTTTTAGCATTATCAGGACTCAGTTTTCTTGGCACAGCATCGTGGCTGGCCTCAAGTTCGCCCAAAAGCTTAGGACTGATAGTCAAAAGGTCGCAACCGGCAAGAGCTTTGACTTCATCGGTGTTTCTGAAAGAAGCTCCCATAACAACAGTTTTATAACCGAATTTCTTGTAGTAGTTGTAGATTTTGGTTACTGAAACGACGCCTGGATCTTCGTCACCGGTGTAGCTTTTGTTGTCCGTATTTGCTACATACCTGAATAAATTTGGCAATGTTAGATAAGAATAAATTATTAATTATAAGCACAATAATACCGAAAAAGTGTTCATATTTTAGTAATCAGAATTTTATTTCAAATGTCTACTTATTTCAGAAACATTTTAAAAAGGAATTATGTTTCGCGACATGATGACGTACAAACACCTACTGATCAATAGGATTTGATAATTCGAAACTGAAAATATAGGGTTTTCCTTATGTATGGAAACGGTATAATATTTCAGAACACGCTTAAGAAAAATATATAATTTCCTACCCTGAGGGTTTTTGGGAATGCCCGATTCAATGGTGGTATTTGCAATGTTGCCAAGATGCTGTATGTAACTTATTTTTTTTTTTAAATTAAAGTCCCTTTTTGCCAAGTTGATTTTGAAATATGGCAACACAGATTTTCTGATAATGTTTATTCGGGATTCATAGGGGTGCTAGTAGGCCCAGCTAGGAAGAAGTATTGTGCTGAAATTCATATTTTTTTTATTCCAGGCTCTTGAATTTTCTTTATCTTGACAAATCCAAGAGCTGGGAGTACAAAAATTGGGCTGGAAAAATTGAGAAACAGAGAGAGAGAAATCGAGACAAAATTGGTAGATAAGTAGATGTAGACACAACATATTTTGCTTGGTTTTTTGTTTCTATTCCAAGTTTTTAAATTTGCTCTATTTTAGAGAAAAACGAAAACGCAAGAGCCCGAAATAGACTAGAATTGAGATGGAAAAATTAAAAATTGAGAAATGAAGAGAAGAAATTCTAAAATAGGAGAATAATGAGAATTCAAGAACCAAAAGAAAATTAAAAATGTAGAACAGAGAAATAAGAAAAAATCAAGAGCCTGGAAATCCTGGAACAGGAAAAATTATGAAAATTCAGGAATTTCAGTTGAAAGTGAAACATTGCCTTGCTAATATTTCCTTATTATTTATTACTCATTTTATAACTTTCAATTTTTGACTATTCAAGGCGCTAAACTGTTGAATGGTGAATTTCTTTTGAACTAAAACATACAAAAAATTCAAATTGGATGAAAAACATTAGAAGAACCAGCAGGAGTAAAAATTAAAAAACAAATCAAGAGACAGAAATAGGAAAAATTATGAAAATGCAAGAATTTGAATCGAAAGAGAAAAATTTTCTTGCTAATATATACATATGGAGCCCTGGGCGACAGGATTTGAATCTTTCATTGATGTAGCTACTTTCATCACAAAAGGGCGGCAAAAGTACATGTTTAAACAATTTTGGAATGTTTTTCTATAAATCAACGCAATTTGTAAAATACTAACCAATCAAGAATCCTGCCCACAAAAGGCGAAATAAGAGTCACGCCGGCTTCAGCACACGCTACTGCTTGAGCAAAGTTGAACAGCAAAGTTAAGTTGCAGTGAATTCCATATTTGGATTCTAAAATCCTAGAAAAGAATTTGATAAATATTTGGCCAAATTTATAATGGAAAAACGTACTTTGCCGCTTGAATACCTTCCCATGTTGAGGCCAATTTAATTAAAATTCTCTCCTTGTCGATTCCATTGTCCGCATATAATTGGATAATTTTCCTTGCTTTGCTTACGCTGGCTTCAGTGTCAAAGGATAATCTAGAATAGAAATTTTGATATAGATATTGATTATTATTCAACTTTACATAGATAAAAGTGTTTGAAAACCAATACTGATATTAAATTAAATAATAATACATATTATAATTTTCTTATCATGTTATTTGAAGTTATATTAACAACTATTATGAAACTTGTTACTTAACTAATGTCAAATAATAAATGCAAGTTGGAAACAATTGCGTGCGGAAAAGTGGCACTTTCCACACTAGTTAGGAAATATCCTATATTTACCTTGCATCAACTTCAGTAGATACCCTCCCAGGCACGATCTTTAAAATTTCAATCCCAAACAACACGGACAGATTATCCATGGCATTTTGAACTTTATCCTCAGGATTTTTCCCTACTTTGTTTCCATATTTCACTGCTTTTTCAATCAAGGGTTTGTATTGGGGAATATTTGCGGCTTGTAGCATTAACGATGGGTTTGTTGTGGCATCTGTGGGCTTGTAGGCTTTCATTGCTGATAAAATAAAAGTTTTTGAAGGGCATTTTGATTTAGTAAGTTGGTTTCTTACCCTCAAAGTCCCCAGTATCGGCCACAACAGTGGTGAGTGCCTTTAGTTGATCCAGTGAGTTGCTCGACATCTTGGTTTTTTTGCACTGAGGTTCTGACATTGTAAATGTTAAATTATCAAAAAAAATTTTGCTCGGTCAGGCCACAGTGATAAGGCGTTTAGCAATTAGATCACTACAGAGATATGTTAAGTGAGGTTATCGGGTTTTCACCTTCATTTGACTTCAATGAATTTCCATTATTCGGTTCACTTTCACCGGGTTCCACGTTGGACTATTTGTTTGATTTGTGTTGCAGTACCCAATTTGAAGTGCGCGTCGCGGTTTTTTTAAAACAATTGTCTGAAGTTTGAAAGGCATATTTTGGAACGTTTTTAATGGGATAATTCAAATACTGATAATTGTCGACTTTTTTAATGATTTTTCTATAAGGCAAACCAATGCCTTATTTCATTTTAACTTAAAAATCAAAAATAAACAAATTTTGAATTTGTGACATGGCGGCAAGCAAGTGTCAACGTCAACCTAAGAGTACTCTTAAGTAGCGTTTTCATTCAGCCTAACTAGAGCACACTATTTATGAAACCAAATCCTGAAATATCACTCTGGTTTTTTTTGTGATAGTATATATCGATATATTTCGATATCAATAGGGTAGTGGACAATTTTTTGAAATATTTTTTTTATTAATAGCGTTTTCTGTTGGTAAAACTCGTGCTGTCCGAGTTCTGCACTCAACACTGAATCAGTTCACGTTTAGTGCAATCTCAAAAGAACATGAATTTGGCGCGTTTTGTCATTCTTTTAAAATTTATTATTTAACGATCCCTAAAGACATTTTCAATGGAATAAAAATTAAAAACGTTTGTGTGGATGAAAAAGTTGAAAACGGAATAAGTTTTTCCTGTATGTAAAGTACATAATTATGCTGTCTCCCGAGATGTGCAGAAATAATTCCAATGATACCTGCGTTGAAATTAATTTTTATGTCAATTTCAATAAGAAAATTTTGAATTTTTGGTATCTGGCAAACATTCAGGCCTATGATGTATTCTGTCCTGTTATTTCAACGTCTGTGTTAGTGTTAAGTCTCAACATCTATTTCTGTCTCTATTTTGATGTTGCTGCTAGAATAACAGAAAATGATACATCATAGGCCTGCGATTGTATATATATAATAGATCCGATTAAATTTCATTGGTTGAAAACAGTCAGAAACAGTCAGAAAACTAGTTTTAAGTTAAAACTAGTTTTCTGACTGTTTTCAACCAATGAAATTCACTCTGACTGGTTTGTGATTTCTGCAGAAACAGACCTAATAATTCTTCCTCTTCATCGCTGTCGCTCGACGAAGATAAAAAATATAGAATTTTATCAATATCGATATCCATAATTTTTTGGTTTTGTTTATACACAGACTTTTCGGCACTTTATGCCATTTTTGTTGTGCCCTGACATTGGCACGAGCTCTCTGACCTCGTGCTGGAAAAGTTGCACGAGGGCAATAATTGATTGCCCTGGTTTTCCAATAGAACATAAAAACCCGCTCGGAAACTGCCAACAGAACATAATTTTTGCATGAGTGCAGCACGAGTTTTACAGAAAACGGTATAATCTTCATCACAAAGGGATGTTGAAAAAATATCGATATATCAAATGGACGATATTTTTCTTTCGATATATCGATAATATCGGCCGATATTTTTTGTTCCGATATATCGGTATATAACCTAGTACTCATAACTGCGAAATTCGCTCTTTTTTGACATTGCTTCGACAATTTGACGTTTGATTCACGCATAAAACGTCAACGTCAAAAAACTGCGAATTTCGCGGTTATGATCGAGTACTAGGCTTATCGATAGAGAGATATCGGTAAAACAGATAGCGCGTATGGACGGTAATAACGTCAAGAGTTATTTTTTTAAAGTAAAGCGGTATCATACTTTCAAATTAGAGTTATCGGAAAACAGTTTAACGTAAAATTTGCCTGTTCGCATCCGTTATTTTATAAACGTAGCCTAACTTGTACCTTGTTGTGATTTGATTTGTGTTGTCTGTTGTTCATGGTCAGGGACAGAGGATTTGCTTTTTTTACTATTTATTGAACACTCCATATTCACTTGAACACAACAAAAATAATAAAATAAATAATAAACATAACATTTTTTTTTTTTTTTTTTATTTGTCAAACACATTGTGTTTGCAACTTTGGAAAGTTGCAGAAGTAATCATGATACCAAAACCCGGAAAACCACCTCATGATGTGTCATCTTATAGGCCAATATCATTATTGCCCGTTTTATCTAAGCTTTATGAAAAGATACTGCTAAAAAGAATAAAACCGATCATAGAAAGACAGGAAATCATTCCAACTCATCAATTTGGATTCCGCGACAAGCACTCTACGATCGACCAAGTACACAGAATAACGAATTTAATAGAAAAATCGCTGGAAGAGGGAAAAGTCTGTTCCGCAGTTTTCCTCGATGTAGCGCAAGCATTTGACAAAGTTTGGCATGAAGGCTTAAACTATAAACTAAAGCTGTTTCTGCCAAAACAATATTCTGATATTTTGGAATCATATATGTGTGATAGACATTTCAGAGTCAAACAGGAAGATTTTGAGTCAAATTTACGAAAAATAAAAGCAGGTGTACCTCAGGGTAGCGTGCTAGGTCCCTACTTATATTTATTATTTACATGCGACATCCCAAAACCAGAAAATTGTCATTTAGCAACATTCGCCGACGATACTGGTTTAATTACAGTGGAAAAAAGTATTGAACAATCAACAGAAAAACTGCAGAACGCTGTCAGTGAAGTTCAAAATTGGACCAAAAAATGGCGAATAAAATTGAATGAAACCAAATCAATTCACGTTGATTTTACAAACAAAAACGTAAATCACATACAAATCACAATTAATGACACCCCTATACCATATTCAAATCAAGCTAAATATCTTGGTATGACGCTTGATGCGAAATTGCGCTGGACAGCACATGTTAAGAAAAAAAGGCAAGAGCTTGAATTTAAGTATAGAAAAATGTACTGGTTAATTGGATGGACGTCCAATTTAACCATACATAACAAGTTACTACTTTATAGGCAAATACTGAAACCAGTATGGGCATATGTAATTCAACTTTGGGGTTGCACTAAAGATAGTAATATACAAGTTATTCAAAGATTCCAAAATAAAGTACTAAGAAACATTGTTAATGCACCTTGGTACGTTCGAAATAGTGATCTACATCGGGAACTAGGAATTGATACTGTAACAGAGACTATAAGAAAGTACGCAAAAAGCCATGAAGATAGACTACATCGGCATGTGAATGTGGAAGTCATTGAGCTCCTAGACAATACTGAGCTAGTTAGAAGACTGAGAAGGGTGAAGCCGTTCGAGCTAGTGAACTGAAATTGAAAAACACAACAAAACAGTGCTATAAACACATCAAAATTGTGATTTACAGTTTAAGCAAAGTGGGGAAAACTGTTGACTGAACCTCAAGAATTGTAAACTTTATAGTAAATTAGGTTAAAACAAAATTGCTAATTAGTCTTACTGACTAGATTGTAATGTAAACATAACATAACCTATTATTCCACGGCGTTATTTTTAGACGTTATTCGAAATAGCGCTTAACGTAAATGCTGGGTAAATTACGTTATGCGGTAACGTTATTTTAGTACGTAGTGTTAAAAATCGAATCGCGCATAGGTTTAATGTCAAAATAACGTAAGCGCTAATACTGCATGACACTTTTTGGGTTACCGATATCTCTCTGATATCAAAATCTGACTATCGTTATGCGATATTTTTTTATCTTCAAATAGATTTACCACCAACTGAAAATTATTTTAAGAAGAATGGATAATGGATAATTGTCTTTTTCAATCGAATGCATTAAAGAAAAATGCCAACAGGCAACAGCAGTCACAAGTTCGATGTTCCTTCGTTCCATCATTATTTTGGTAAATGTTGGTTTCGTATTTTATATTTATTCAATATTCCGCTATAGATTTATGGGCCCGGATTCCGAACTCACGATTCCATAGAATCGTCCATATAAAATAGATCTATCTAATCGAAAATAAACAGGAGTTGATGATTCTTTGATTTTAGATAACAAAAATATACGTAAAATAAAATTAACAGTACTTATTTTAAACGCGATAATTTACCGCCCGGAAATTACGTCATAGCTGTTACGTCCAATAGCGTCAAGGCATTCCGACATTAATAATATGAGAGTGGCGAGAGCGCGGTCTGCGCGTCCCTATATTTCACATGGTTTTAGAAAAAGATTCCGATAAACTCAGTGCACTCGGTGCACACTGATTGATAAATAAATATCTCTCAAAAAGTGGGGTTATGTTGAAGATGCGCCTAGATGTAATCTTTGAATTTTTGTTTGTGTGGAATATCGGACGTAGGTTTGATTTAAATTCATACTCAAAACCAGCAGCTAGAGGTGGGCCAACCTGCGATTTTAATGGAGCTGTGACAAGACGTGACTGCTCCAGTCGAGTCACTGTGACAAATAGCAGTGATTTTTTGGAGCAGTTTTACCTTAGTTGGCGGCCGTACTGCTAATATTATGTTAATGCTACATCGCAACATGGCATAATCACAGTCCGCATTCACGGCCGAGAGAGACGTTCTAGTTTTCAGCCTGCCCTATCTGCAGTAGCAGTTTCTATTTGGCTTGACCGCGATGCGATTTATAATATTATATTATTAAATTTGCATCACAGCTCGAGTCAGGGTTGCCAGATGGTTATAACTAATTTCCCCCAAAGGATTTCAAAAATACCCCAAAAATCACTGTTTGTCGACTAAAATCCCCCAAATAAATATAGATTTATTCTCGACTCATACTTGCAAAAAAAAAAGACAAATTCGTTGAATATTTTAAAATAAAACTCATACCCTTACCACTTTTTTATTTTTTTATATTTTTCTAATCCCAAAAATAAAATGACAATTGACAAATGACAAATGAAATAAAATGTTGTGACTGGTGACAGAACAGATAAGTACAGTTGTACCAAGAAGTTTGGATAGTTTATTATTATATTAAGCTGTATTAAAATTTAGAATACAGCAACTTAGAGGACTACGCACTATAACCGCAAAGAAATGCAAAACGCAAAATAAAAAATAAACAATGCAAGCAACGTCGGTCGTTGGGGATTCCCCCGATTCGACTTGTCAAGTCAATTGTCATTTGTCATTACAAATTAAAATAGATCTAGAACTGA